CAACATTTAACATTGATACATACTGTGGAATTCTGCTGACATAGTTTCTCTCCTTAAATGTATCTGACAAACTCCATATGTCGACGGTAGGATATTCCTTCATTAATGGTTTATCTCTTGTAATAATTTATAAACAGTACATTTTCAGCGTTGTATTATCTTTCAGTAATCTATGGTATGACATCTTGTTTGATTTGCTCGTAATCACTAGGCTAGGGAAGTCCCTCGTAAGAATGTGGAAACTTTCTAACTATGGAAACTTCTTTGGGCTTCTCTCTCTCTCTCTCCTCATCTCTCTCTTCTCTCTCTCTCTCCTCCTCTCTCTTCTCTCTCTCTCTCTCTCTCTCTCTCCTCTCTCTCTCTCTCTCTCTCTCTCTCTCCCTCTCTTAAACAGTAATTTCTGTAAACAATGGCCAGCTAATTTTAATTATTTATCCCTAATTTACATAATTACAAATGATGGAACCTTGAAGGTCTTTTCATTTTCGTTCCTATTTTATGAAGATGGCCTTTTAAGTTAGGATCATCTGTTGATGATACGATCATCTGTTGTTGATACGATCATCTGTTGATGATACGATCATCTGTTGATGATACGATCATCTGTTGATGATACGATCATCTGTTGATGATACGATCATCTGTTGTTGATACGATCATCTGTTGTTGATACGATCATCTGTTGTTGATACGATCATCTGTTGATGATACGATCATCTGTTGATGATACGATATGGTAGCTAAAGTGTTGACAATTGTCGACAATTTCTTGGCGTGTCTTTATTTCGCACTTGTTTAGTTTTGTATTTGAAATGTTTGCTATATAAAGTATGTACTTTAAATCAGTCTCATGAGTTTCTAATTTTCGTTGATTGCTCCAATGGAAACCTGTTTTGTTTTGTGTACAATCAGACAGATATTGCCTACACCGACAATCGACGATTTAACAAAGTAAAAACAAAATAATATATTCCTGGGTGTGGGTGTAGCCTCTTATATCACAATATTGGAGCTTGTTTGAGTCAACACCTTTTAGCGGGGATGGGTAGCTAATTCGTCCATTCTTCTCCTTTTATTGTTGTCAACGCCAAAATCTTTTCCTTGTATCGTTGTCAACACCAGAATGTTCTCCTTTTATCAGGAGTCGGAGTCGATTTTCTCCTTTTATCAGGAGTCGAAGTCGATTTTCTCCTTTTATCAGGAGTCGGAGTCGATTTTCTCCTTTTATCGGGAGCCAATCGGCCGAGTGGACAGCACGCGGGACTTGTGATCCTGTGGTCCTGGGTTCGATCCCAGGCGCCGGCGAGAAGCAATGGGCAGAGTTTCTTTCACCCTATGCTCCTGTTACCTAGCAGTAAAATAGGTACCTGGGTGTTAGTCAGCTGTCACGGGCTGCTTCCTGGGGGTGGAGGCCTGGTCGAGGACCGGGCCGCAGGGACACTAAAAAAAAAAACGAAATCATCTCAAGATAATCTCAAGATAAGATCAATGTCAACGCCAGAATCACCGAGATAGCCTATCTTTCACAACTGACATTGTATGCTATTGAAACCCTCCAAAAAACTTCACTACCTACACAGTAACTCAAGGCAGCATACGAACAGCTCTGCCATCTATCTCCTCATTGATGTCATGATCTATCTGCCAATGCTTCTAACCTTTTGAAATCTTTTGAAATATCTGCTGATGACACTGCCTTCATCTTTAACCCAACCCACGCCATACATGATATAGTAAACAATGATTTAACAAAATTCTACTAAAGGATGTCAAGCTCACACTTTACATATAAAGACCAATTACATTTGAGTTTGAGACAAGTCATTTAATTAAATAAAAGTTTAAATACATAATATGATGGTTAAGAGTATATAAAAAATATAAAATTTCTATGCCTTTGTATTGGCAACAGATCTAACATCGACAGTCATATACATACACTATCAAAATTCATATACTATGCTTCCCCTCTACTGTTTACACACTATATTGCTCACTAATGTATTCCTATAACACCCATCATCACCCAGACTAAATAAATTCTCAGAACAAACTTATGTTTTCAGGCAACATGCAGCCCCTTTGTTCAAATTCCTGAGCATGATAAACATTCACACTATACATTAGTCTGCGCTTGCTTAAATTTCTTTCTCGGTTATGTAATAGACCCCCATGAACTTACTACAAGAACTGGCTGTATCTCTGACATTCCCCAGAGTCCGTTTAACACGATGCGCACACACGCCATTTAGATGAAAACAAATATGACACTTGAACAAATCCACAAGGGCCGTGATGAGGATTCGAACCTGCGTCCCCTACGCTGCCTTAATCGAATCAGGTTCGAATCCTCGTCACGGCCCTTGTGGATTTGTTCATTTGATGCATCACGTTATTGTGATTTCTGTGTGTAAATGTGGCACTTCTTAATGAAGTAAAGAATTTGACTATTTATTTTATTAAATAGTAAAAATTAGCACCGAAGTTAGTCCCTAATTTGTCACTTAATTCATGTTAATAAATTTGTAATCAACTCCTGTACTAAATAAGTTTATTGCATTTGCGCAGCAAAGTTATGCAAAAACTATTGTACTTTCTAATAAATCAATGAATAAATTAGTCCATAAATGGCGATGTAAACAAAGTCACGTGACCTCGTGACGTCGATACAGCCACATATACAAAGGAACCTCGTTAAGCGTGAGGTTATTTATGATATTAAATGCTGTAAAGATCAGCGAGGTGTTACCCACCAAAGGCCGTGAGTGGGTGGTCTTGCTCTTATCTGTAGTCTGGTTAAGTATGGTTGGCGGTACTGATCTCTGGTATATATACATCTGGAGAATTATTCCGCGTATTCTTGTATATACAGTACATTCTTTTTTAAGAGTTCAGTTTAGGTATGAACTACGTTCAGGACTGAGGCATACTGGCGGGCTGGTCAGTAAATTACTGCCGTAGCCTTAATTAATTGCGAAGACAAATATTTGGCCACGTTACTTTAACCTGCAGTTATACTTTATGAGAAAACTGATCCTTTTCATAAACACTTTGAACGTAAAGTGACCTAGATGTTATAGAATCATTAGAGGCTAGGTTCAATAAAAGGCCAGGGCTGCTGGCGGAACGTGACTCCCCTCCAACCCTTCAAGGCTCACTACAATATAACCTGTATCGTGTATGTCATCTATTCCCCCCCTCCCCTCCCACCACTCCCCCTCTTCTCTTTACTAGTTTATGGCTCACTAGTTTATTTACTGGTTTATTTTATTTTTGATTTTTCGTGTGATTGATACACAGGTGGTTATTTTTTTCTTAATGAAGGTCAAGATTTTACGAATGCGCGCTCTCTCTCTGTCACACACACACACACACACACACACACACACACACACACACACACACACACACAAAGGGAAAGAAATTCACTTTCGCAAACAGTGGTAGACGGTTGGAACAAGTTAGGTGAGAAGGTGGTGGAGGCCAAGACCGTCAGTAGTTTCAAAGCGTTATATGACAAAGAGTTCTGGGAAGACGGGACACCACGAGCGTAGCTCTCATCCTGTAACTACACTTAGGTAATTACACACACACACACACACAAGGGGCCGACCGAGCGGACAGCACGCTGGACATGTGATCCTGTGGTCCCGGGTTCGATCCCGGACGCCGGCGAGAAACATTGGGCAGAGTTTCTTTCACCCTATGCCCCTGTTATCTGTTATCTAGCAGTAAATAGGTACCTGGGAGTTAGTCAGCTGTCACGGGCTGCTTCCTGGTGTGTGTGTGTGATGTGGAAAAAATAGTAGTAGTAGTTAGAAACAGTTGATTGACAGTTGAGAGGCGGGCCGAAAGAGCAGAGCTCAACCCCCTCAAGCACTACTAGGTGAATACACACACACACACACACACACACACACACACACACACACACACACACACACACACACACACACACACACACACACACACACACACACACACACACACACACACACACACACACACACACACACACATACGCACACACACACTAACAGACGGAATGCATTAGGCAGTGATGTGGTGGAGGCTGACTCCATACACAGTTTCAAATGTAGATATGATAGAGCCCAGTAGACTCAGGAATCTGTACACCAGTTGATTGACAGTTGAGAGGCGGAACCAAAGAACCAAAGCTCAACCCCCGCAAGCACAAATAGGTGAGTACCTATAAATAAAAACTGCATAAGGCGTTTGTAGTAAATGCATGCCGTTTATCACAGCAAGAAAGTTTGGCATTGATCATAAAACGGTATTAAGTGCATTCCTGCTTGAGCTTAAATTGAAATGCGTTGAAGATCACAACACGAAACTTTCACCTCTCTTTCGTAACAGTAAATTATCTAGCAGTGCCGGATGTACACGTCCGTTCATTTCGGATGATTGAGGACATCGATTAATTCATTATAGCCGTTTTTCAAAATGATAATGGCGCTTGTAGATCTTAAGTGTGTGTAAATATTACTCCGGTGACTAGTGTGTTTTTACTAGTCATTATTTAGAAGAATAAACTTATTAGTATTCTGGGTAAAACATTTTAATAATTACATATCGTAAAGCATAATTTGGTATTGGTATTATTATGTAATCATATCTCGTTGGTGGTGTTTTAAGTAATTTATATCTAGTATTATCAAGATATTAATTGTTTGATTTTGTCTTTGACAGAACGATGACCTCTTCCACTGCCCAGACGGTAAGTACAGGCGGATACAGGTCATTTCTAACATAAAATAGTTCACCAACGTGTTTTGATCTTGTACTGAAACCTACCTAACCTTAACCTAACCATAACCTAAACCTAATCTTAACCTAAACCTAACCTTAACCTAAACTAGCCTAGCATAACCCAATCTAGCCTAGCATAACCTAATATATCCTAGCATAACCTAATATATCCTAGCATAACCTAATCTAGCCTAGCATAACCTAATCAATCCTATCCCAACTCTGTGCACTTTTAGCAAAGAGAAAACAAGCTATACAAGAGGCGTTTGTGCGCTGTTACCTTGCCTGGCACAGTCGTGTCAAGGAGAAGGAAGCTTTACAGTGTATTGTTAATCGACAGAAGTAGTGCACTTTAAATACACGTTGTAAATAACACAATGTAACACAATGTTTGTTTCTGGATAAGTGTTGTTTATATTTTCTTATGCCCTAAGTATAATCACAGGTGATTCCAATCGCCTGGAACAGACTGGGTCACACTGTAGCAGAAGCAGAGGCCATTTTGAGGTGTAAAGAAGCTGGAAAAATAGCTTGGTGAGGCTTCCTTTGATCTACGACTTACACTTTCATCCAACAAGTTCCAGTGGTTACAGAAGCAACGTTTGTGGGGGAATAATATTTCTCTGTGCAGGCGATGAGTCACAATAACGTGGCTAAAGTATGTTGACCAGACCACACACTAGAAGGTGAAGGGACGACGACGTTTCGGTCCGTCCTGGACCATTCTCAAGTCGATTCCTATCCTATATTAATATTCCTATATTAATAGTTCTCTGTATTTTGGAAGCATTGCCGTTTAGTAAATAACACTGCCCTGGAACAAAAGTTATTACGCGGTGTAATTGTAGTCAATATTTACGTGTATTTTGTAAATATTTTTAAATGACGGAGTAGTGTGATGGGGAATGTTGAGCAAGGTTATGTGCTGGAGGGTATTGTGCTTGCGGCGCCATACTGGGTAGTGGGAGACGATGTAGTGGCTCTATTACCAGCGTGCACGCACTCAAGCACACGCACCCAGCCACACGCACCCACGCACGCACCAAGACACACATCCACGCACCCACCCACGCAAGCCTCGGTGAAAGGAGAAAATCACACACGAGATATTCGTCTGCCTAACGCCTCTGGCCACATCCTCCGCCCACACGCCACCTTACTTACCACCTCTTGCGAGCCGTCATCGGGAGAGCCACAACAGCCTGGGAGTCTGCTGTGGCACTACTTTGACGAGGATTGTAGTGGGAACTAAAGGGCAAGCGGGCCAAAACAACAGCCTGTTGGGCCAAGTTATTACAAGTCATACCTCACCTCAGGTGAGGCTTCGAACGCAAAACTCTACAACCCACTCCATATATGATCCAGGTTCTATGAGTGGTATTAAAACTGCCGCTAGTATTACAATGCTCATATTATTAGGCCAAAATATGTGATAAGGGTAAAATGTGTGCAACAGTGTCTTGAGAGAGAACATGAAGACAGTTAACATTTCTTGTGTGATTGTCGTGACTGTAATGTTAAGTTGGGTTACAGTCTCGGCGACCCCCCCCCACCACCTCTGGGGAGTGGTCAAGGCTATGTGAAAGTTTCTCGGGTACCTGGGTGTGGGTTCCTGTGTGGGTAGGTGGGTGGGTTGAAAGGTACGTGGGTGGGTAGGTTCCTGGGTGGATGGGTTGGTGTGTTTGTGTGTATTCTATGGTGGGAAAGTGGGAGTCTTTGATTAGTGGGTTAGGCACGTTTCATGCAGGTACGTGGGTGATGTTTCTGGGTGGGTAGGTGGGCGGGTGGGTTTCTTTATGGATGTATGATTGTGTTGTAGGTGAGTGTAGGTGTATAGTGTTGAGTAAGGAGACTCAAGAGTGGGTGGAGGTGCGCAGGACTGAGCGCTGGACGAGCCGGTAAGGCGGAAACTGTTTAAATTAAATCGAAATGCCGTACATAATGCTGTTATCCTTGTGTGTGTGTGTGTGTGTGTGTGTGTGTGTGTGTGTGTGTGTGTGTGTGTGTGTGTGTGTGTGTCCAAACGTGTTTGTGGTGAGTCAAGCTCCAGCTCTTGGACCCCGCTTAACTATTTATCGTCAGTGGACTCATTAATACAGCAAGCATCAGACAGGCGCTGACGTATTCGGCGCCAGCATGGAGTTTTCCTCTTACTCATTATGAGAAGACTAAAAAAATAGAGGAAATATTGACATGATATAACCCAAAGAATTCGATACTTGTATACGAATCGACTGGTGACTGAGAGGTGGGTTCCTTGAAGTGAATTTCGACTCCCACAAGGACACACATGTGAGCACATACAGTATGATAAATATCGATTTGGTAACATTTCCCAAGAGTTTGACGCTGATCTGAGACGATCATATGAGGAGCCTCACCCTTCAGTTTTCAAAGTCTGGGCGTCGTCTAGGGCGAGGCTGTGACCACCAAGTGAAAATGTTTTGTTGTAGGACCTTGGACGCTGTAGACAAACCCGTCCCACTCTCAGTCACTGCTTTCTACCCGTTGCTTAAATAGTGTCACTCCAGCAGGGTCTCCTCTAAGTCTGTTTTATGTTGAACTTGAATTGAACTTGTGGCTGAGGTTCTCTCATTTCCTCCGAGCTATTGCTTCCCTGATCTTTACCAGCCGTCATTTCCTTTACTTTCCCTTTTATAAATGTGTATGTTATACTCTCTACTGCTGCTGTACCCTGGTCACGTTCTCCAACATTCCTCCCTGCTTCTTCCTTCTGCTTTCAATGGGCATCGCTTTCTCTCTTTTCTTTCATTGTCTTTTCTATCGTGTCATTTAACGCTAGTTTGATCTTCTGCACTTGCTTTCCTCCTTAACGTTATGGACATATTTTTCACTTCGGATTTATCAAGTCTTTCTTGCTCTCGTTCCTTATCGCTGTTCAACAACGCTCTGTGTTGTTTCGTAATATTTTTTGTTTAATCATGTTAATGTTTTAGTTCTCGAGTATTTCATTCGGGTTTGGATTTGACAGCCAGAGTCCTGGCTCTGTTGCTATTAACTCTTCTCTTTCACAGTATATGCTCAGGTGTTCTAAACTTTCTAACATGAGCTTACCCTTCCATTTATCTTTCTTTCTTTCTTTCTTTTTCTTTCCCTTGTTTCTCTTACGACCCCTTTCTTATTCCTATTAGAGCCTCAAAGGGTGTGAATAGAATGTTGTGAAGGGCTAAGGTGTAATAAAGGGGGATTCCTTTATTACACCTTTCGTACCTTTTGCCTTGCTTTTTCTTCCTCTTAAGATTTCCTTCCCTTCAACTCACTCTTGCCTATTTATTGCCTTCGGCTCCTTCCCTCAAGGTACGCAGTTACAGCCCCTCTCTATTGTGCCAGGTAAGTCCACTACGGGCTCACCATAGCCCGTGCTACTTGGAACTTTTTGTTCCAAGTAGCTTAATCTTAAACAACAACAACTTCCCTCATATCACAATCGACTTGACAAATGATCCAAGATGGACCGAAACGTTGTCGTCCCTTCACTTTCTAGTATGTGGTTTGGTCAACATACATATATAGGGACACAGGTGGAAACTGAGCGCCCAAATGAGCCACAGAGATATTAGAAAGAACTTTTTTAGTGTCAGAGTGGTTGACAAATGGAATGCATTAGGAAGTGATGTGGTGGAGGCTGACTCCATACACAGTTTCAAGTGTAGATATGATAGAGCCCAATAGGTTCAGGAACCTGTACACCTGTTGATTGACGGTTGAGAGGCGGGACCAAAGAGCCAGAGCTCAACCCCCGCAAACACAACTAGGTGAGTACACACACACACACACACACACACACACACACACACACACACACACACACACACACACACACACACACACACACACACACACACACACACACACACACGTCAGAGGAGACAAATAGAAGCGTGAAGGTCGCGCACAAAAGAAGCCGCTGGGGCGCCCCAGATGCTGCTTGTTTACCACTCTGCATTTCCTGCAAGAAGTGAAACAAGGGCGTGATCTCCCCTACTGAAGAGCTCGACCTTGGCCACGGTGTCTTGGAGTGCCGGAGCTTGTCTCTTGTGTGTGCTGGAGACACTTGTGTCACGTGTACTCACTGTGCGTCTTGCTCTATTCTCTTGTTTGATTCTTCTATCTTTTTTTTCCTTTTCTCTTTCGGCGTCGTTAACATCCGCTTCTCTTCCTCCTCCTCTTCTCCTCTTATGTTTCCTACTTATCCTCGTCTATTCTTCCACGTCTTGTGTACTCACAAGTTGTGATTGTCTCCTTATTAAGGATTTAATTACCTCGCACTAGACCCCTACTGAAAGACCTGAGATAATGGTCGCAACAAGCCTCGCATTCCAAGATGATTTATCACAAGAGAGCGACGCCCAGGAGCGCTGGCTGGTGCTACTGAACCGGTGCCTTAGGCAGGTAAGGCGGTGGTAGGGGAGATGGGCGAGGGAGCTGGTGGTGGGCATGGGAGGAGGTGGTGGGCAAGGGAGGCTATAATTTGGGCAAGCTGTAAGGAAGGGCTTAAGGCGTGTCGGGGAGAGGTAAGGTAGATGGAGGGAGAAGTGACAAGGTGAGGGAGTGTTCATAGGCAAGGCCAAGCCTATGTGAACCATCCCTGTACTCTTGGTCAGTTCAATAGCACCCAGCCTAGGGGACCAAACTCTCCAAGTCAAGCCTGGCCTCGGGCCGGGCTTGGGGAGTAGAAGAACTCCCAGAACCCCATCAACCAGGTATCAACCAGGTAATGGGTCTTGAATGGAAAGAAGGGAGAGAGGGAAAGAGAGAGAGCTCTAGTCGTGAAGAGAAAGGACCGAATTCCTTTCTATGGCCTCTCAAGATATGGTCTTGTAAATACCCCCTTCCCCCCCACCACCTTCTCTCAACCTCCAGACTGAAATATACATAAACGTATATATTTATTCATGGCTGTATTAGAAAAAAAGTAACATTGTGGCGTTGTCATACTTAAATGTC